GCATAAGTTGAGGGGGTACTTGGGTATTTTCTCATTTTTATATATATACTGATAGTATAAAAAATAATATTTAAATTTTTTTAAAAAATAATTTTTTTTTGCAGAAAAAGAAGAAACCAAATCTATTTTGGGTTTCAGCCATTGCTCCAATAATTGTAGTTATAGTTGGCTGCCTTTTTGCTTATTTATTCAATGCTGAAAAACATGGCATAGCTATTGTAAGTTATATTACCCTCTTTTATTTTTTTAAAAAAATATTTTGAATATTTTTATTAAATTTGATCGAATTTACAAAAAATAATTATATAAGTAATTGTTTGACGAAAGGTTCCCTATTATAACTCGAGTTTGATGAGTCATTTTTTTTATTTTATATTATCTTATATTTGATTTTAAAAAAATAATTTTTTTTTGAACTCAATGCAGGTGGGAAAATTGAATAAAGGAATTAATCCACCCTCTCTCAATCTTATAAATTTTAGTCCAGAATATATATCTGTTGTTTTAAAAGCTGGGATCATTACAGCTATGGTTTCACTAGCAGTAAGTACATTTTAATTATTCTCGTAGTTTTTTTATTCTTCGATTAATTTATATCGTATTACTGGTTATTTTTTTGTGCTTTGTTACGTTATTATATCATTTTGTCGTTGTTACTGTTATTATTTATACGCTTTTGATATTCTCTTTCCAAATTACTCTATCGAAAACAACATGATCATGCATATACATTATACATTATCCTTGTCAGATTTTACGTATGTGTGAGAATATTACATCGAGTATATTATTGATAATTATTAATTTTTTTATTTTATAGGAAGGAATAGCTATTGCAAGGAGTTTTTCTATCATGGATAATGAACAAATTGATGGCAACAAAGAGATGGTAGCCATTGGACTCATGAATATTGTTGGTTCTTTAACTTCTTGTTACTTAAGTACAGGTAATTAATTTTTTATTTATTATAAATAAAGTATCAAATTTTCGTATTTCAAATTCAGAAAGTTTAAATTTTGACTCTGTCTCTCTCGACTAATAAATTACACTTCCTACTAAGAAATGAGTGAGAGTTAGCATCTCACAGAGGTTGAATCAGAATTTTTATTCTACTGAACACTACTACAAGATTTCAATCAAAGTTATTTTGTTCTACTGAACCAAAACGATCACTTACGATTAATATGTCTATAGTTAACAAAGTAATTTTTTTAACTTTTATATACTGACAAATATACCGTAAACATCTACTGCTAGTGATTTTTTATTTTTTTTGGTTAGGGCCATTTTCAAAAACAGCAGTGAACCACAATTCTGGATGCAAGAGCCAAATGTCAAATGTAGTGATGTCAATGTGCATGTTGCTAACTTTATTGTTTTTGGCACCACTTTTTGGCTACACACCACTTGTTGCCTTGGCTGCTATCATCATGTCAGCTATGCTTGGGTTAATTGACTATGAAAAGGCTTATCACCTCTACAAGACTGACAAATTTGATTTCTTGATTTGTATGGCTGCTTTCTTTGGTGTTGCTTTCATTAGCATGGACATGGGACTCGTGATGTCGGTACGTAAACAAAAAATATTATTATCATTCAAAAATTTCCTTAGTCGGTGAAATTACATTGAGTATCATTCTTCCTATTGTTATTGTTGTTACTTGGGCTCTGATCGATACAACAAAAGTCGTTTTCTAATGGTTGACTATAAATAATTTGTGTTTTAGTCCTTTTGATCGAAAAATAGTTAGTATCGTGAACTTTAAATTCTACAGAATGTTTTTATAGTTTCACTTGTGAAATTTAAAACTTTGCGATAATGGCTAAGTGGAATTTATTTTGTTTCCGTTCAACTTCATATAATTTGCTACAACTAACAATTAGACATTCTTCAAAACACTATTTAGTACTTTTTTTTTCTTAGGAATATATATTTCGTGATCAAAATGACTTTTATCATACTAAACATGATAAAAATTTACGCGTACTCGATATATATATGATTATTTTTATTTTTGTAGGTTGGACTTGCCTTGATAAGGGCACTTCTATATGTTGCTAGGCCACCTACTTGCAAACTTGGAACTGTTTCAAATAATGCATTTCGTGACGTAGAACAATATCCTGGTTCTAAACAAACTCCAAATATGTTGATTTTGAAGCTTGGTTCTCCAATTTACTTCCCTAATAGCAATTATGTTAGAGAAAGGTAAGAAATATATCTATAATAACGTCGTTTATCTGGATGTTATTTTATTATTGTAGTGAAAATAGCTATTCACAACTTATAATATAGAGGCATATAATATATAGATCATAGGCTTTTAAACTTAGCATCAACTGAAAACTAAACCTTCGATCCAACTTTGATGATGCAGTCTAGACACCTAAGTTCGTTTTCATCGTGTTTGTTGAACACCCCAACTTATAAAAATAATCATCTGGACACTTCCAGAGTTTATACATTACGTCAACGATCACTACTAAAAGTCATTACTTTCCTATCGAAAAATGTTCAGTGGTTATTTCCACGTATATATGTTAGCTAGATGTACATCCCTAAAGTTGATGTGTTTATTTTTCAGTTAAGGTTTGCAAGTTTGAGTGTGTCTATATATGTTATGTTGATATATAACATGAAAAACTTGATATTAAATAAAGCTTGATCATTATGATAAAATATTATTATATCGTATAATTATTATAGAGCGATTCGACCTTAAACATGTTTATGAATTTTCAAAGTTTAATTGTTCTAATGGTAAAATGTTATGTTTGATGGATATATTGAACAGGATTCTAAGATGGGTAAGAGATGAACAATCTCTTCAAAATTCCAAAAGAAATGAGGTCGAATACTTGATACTTGATTTTGGAGGTATGCTTAAAATTCACAAATAATAACTTTTGGTTTTATGTAATTAAATTATTATTTTTTATTTGCTTTTCAATATGTTACAAAATAATTTTAAAAAAAAATTAATGACAATATTGTAGGTGTCACATCAATTGATATAACTGGTATTGAAACTTTATTTGAAACTCGTAGATCACTAGCAGCAAAAAACATCAAGGTATGTATAATTATATCCACTTTCTCATTATTAGTTACTCTCATGTTTTACGTTTGCTTCTCGAGAGTTAAAGTAATTTTTTTTCATGAAAAAGATTACGACGTATAATATTTTCATATAATTTTCAAATATCAATTAAACAACTGTTCTATCTCATATAGCAAAACGTAACAAGTAAATTTCTGAAAGGAGATTATATAACTTTCGAAATTCACAATTTTATAATATGTTTTTTTTTGTAGATTATATTGGTTAATCCAAGATTAGGGGTGATGGAAAAATTAATTGTGACAAGATTTATTGATGTGATTGGGAAAGAATCAGTGTTTTTATCAATTGAAGAAGCAATTGAAAATTGCAGATTTTCACTAAATTCTTCAAGTCAAACAAAAAATGAAGATGTGGAAATTGCTTAGTCTACAAAAAAAAAAAAAAAATCAATATTCAATATTTTATTTTTACAATAGGAGGAAAAAAAGATTTTAATTTCTGCCAATTGAACCTTTTTTTTTCTTTTGTAATGTTTTTTCTACCTTTCTTCTGTTTGTTTTTTTTAGAATAGATTTTGTAACTTTAATTTACAATAGTTTTATTATCTTGTTCTTTTTTTTTTGTATAAATTTCTTTGATAGAGTTTATAAGCTATATGACTCAAGTCTACTAGAAGAATAACTACATTTTTTAGCCAAAAAATATTAGTTATGTTTTTTGTGGCCTTTGTTCAATAGAAAATCAACACATGAATAATTTAAAATCTAGTAGTTTAAATAAAAAAACATCTAATACATTTTTCTAAATCTGAATTACGTCTCAAGTCTTTTAAAAAGTAAGTTAAAGACTTAAAATGATAGATGTAGACTAATGACGATCCGAAGAGCAGAATCTCACCATAACTCCGAAAGCGTTGGACACTACTACAAGACTCACCCCGACTAGGATATGTATTAAAGGGATAAACCAAAGAGTGCTAAAACATTTATCGATTTTAGTTATTTTTCATTAGATTGGATATCGATATAGGCTTTTAGAAAATTTACAAAAGGTGGTAGTTGCTCTAGATAATATATTTAGCAACAACTAATTAAGTTATTATCGTTAATTAATTACGATCAAATATCAATTAGAGGATAGTGATGTCACTTTGAAAGTTATAGAGTTAATGTCTTAAAAAATCGACTCAACTTCGAGAATCTATCTAACAAAGTCATTTAACTTTACTTTGTATCACAAAAATCAATCAACTTAGACTTTTTTTTAATCAAAAAATCACTCAATAAAATAATATTAGATGATATTTGATTAATTAATTTTTTGCCAAGGTCAACAGTTATGTTTGAAAAAACTATTCTTTTTATGCTTTAAAATCAAGACCAAGAGACCCCTTAGTGATCACACAAAAAAATAAAGGATTTTTTTTTGAAATTTCAAATTACGATTTTGATTTTATTTGTTTGTAGAGTCTATATATTTAGATGACATAAAAGAAATTATTTTGTATATAAAAAAGATTCAATAATAAATTTAATTGATATAAATGTATAAATGTCTAAGTTGAATATTTTATTAATATAAAACAAAATTTAATAACTTTGTTAATTAAAATTGAGTGACCTTTTAAAATATTAACTCACAGTTTATATCTAAATCATCTATATTATTATGAGAATCTTAATAATTAGTTATATGATGATATAAATCCTTAAACCTTAATTAAAGATAGAAAGTTTTATCTATGAATTATCTGAATCTTAATTAGTTATATGATGCAAAACCTTAAACCTTAATTAAATATGAATTTTGTAGTTTTCTCTTGCCTTTTTCTCTCTTTCTTTGTGGTCAATATTTTTGTTGAATTTAAAATAATATTACATAGATGCGTATTTATGTGCTTTTTTTACAAAGTCTAGATTAGTTTCATTTTTTCTAGCATTATATTTTTGATCCTACGTCAAAAAATTATAAGTTCAGATAAATCGACACACTATATAAAGACATTTCAATCGTCATATTTTATTACGTAAAACACTTTAATATCTTCTTAATACTCTCTTATAATTATGAGTTCTCCAAAGTCTTTACATGGTGTGAACTATGCACCACCACGTAGCTTTAAGACTGTTCTTAAAGCAAATGTCAAAGAAACACTATTTCCAGATGATCCATTTTATGATTTCAAAAATGAAAAATTATCTAAAAGAATTCTAAAAGGAATTCAATATTTTATACCAATTTGTCAATGGTTACCAAAATACAAATTTGGGTTATTTATGTATGATCTTCTTGCTGGAATTACAATTGCTAGTCTTGCAATTCCACAAGGAATAAGCTATGCAAAACTAGCTGAACTTCCTCCGATTATTGGACTCTGTACGTTACATACACTGACAGTATATTATTATTTGAACAGTCAAAATCATATATTTTTTGAAAATGTTTTGAACCGCTAACTATTGTAACTTATATTACTTTTTAAGGAAAATGCGTAACTATCCCCCTAAAATATGAACGAAATCTCATAGACACATCTTAACTAAACTAAGGTCCTATTACCCTGATTTTTTTTTAAACCTTGTGCACTTGTGTGGCATTCAAATATCTCCCACGCGCCTCAATTGCGTGGAGTTACAGAGTGTGCCACGTAAGACAAAAAATGTATAAAATTACAAAAAAAAAATGTTCAGAGGATAATATGACCTTAGTTTAGTTATGGTGTGTTTCTGAGATTTCGATCGTAATCTAAGAGGATACTTGTGTATTTTTCCTACTTTTTATGTTTATTCTTGAATATGTAAAAGTTTATATTTAAAAGATTGAAGACTCTATGTCTGAATTCACACTGAATATTTGTTAATTTGACTCTCGTATTTAGGGAGTAATACTTTGTACATCATTAGAGTAACTTTAAGTTTTTATAGCACATTACGCAAGAGGCGTAGCTATAATTAGTTAATAAGTGATCTGATTGTGTAAATATTTTTATATCGCAGACTCGAGTTTTGTTCCCCCTCTAATTTATGCTATTTTTGGGAGTTCAAAACATCTTGCTGTTGGAACAGTAGCAACTTGTTCATTGATTATTGCTGAAGCAGTTCAACAAAAAGTTAAGCCTGAAGACAATATGGAATTGTATGTTAGTTTGTTTTACACTGCTGCCCTTATATCTGGTTTGCTACAAACAGCTTTGGGGGTACTAAGGTAATTTTACATATCAGTCGTTTAATTTTTATATACTGACAGTTTAGGAATATTCAAATATGTCAATAATTGCATGTTGAATCAACCAAAAATAATACGTTTTTTTTTGGAGGATTCGACATGACATCATCGACTTATTTAAAAAGTTTGAGTCAGGGACGGAAGCCATCTTGTACGAAGAGGGTTCATTTGAACCCCTTCAGCGAAAAATTATATTATTTATACACGATGAAAATTTTTCTATATGTATATATAGTAGGTGTCGAACTCCCTTCGGATATTTCATGTGTCTATTTCTAAAGCTTTCTGAACCCCTTATTGAAAATTTTGACTCGGCGATCTGATCTGGACAATATTAAAATGAATATTATATTGAAGATCGAATAAATTAATTCATTTTTTTTTTATGTGTGATGTAGGCTTGGATTTTTGGTGGATTTTCTATCACATTCAACAATTACTGGATTTATGGGAGGGACAGCATTAATTATTTGCTTACAACAATTAAAAGGCATGCTTGGATTGAAGCATTTCACTAGTCGTACTGATGTTTATCATGTTTTACGTGCTGTAATTGAAAATAGAAAAGAGGTTAGTTTATCTTAATTAATTCGATAAAATCGTCGATCATTTCATAGTCTAGTGTAAAAAATATCCATATTCATGTAGAATTTAACGAACGATTCTACTTTAAAGGGTGTGATTAGATAGTGTTATAGTTATTTTTATAATTCGAACTCATGATCTATATATCACAAAAAGATACTAACATGATTTTTTTTTTCGTTCGATTTATATATAAAAAAAATAAATCAGTGGACATGGCAATGTGCAGCTGTTGGAGCATTCTTCCTTGCTTTCCTACAATTATCTAGATATGTGGTAAGTTTTTTAATACGATATTTTAATTTATATATACTGATAGTATTAAAAAAATAATTTTAAATTCATAAAAAATTATTTTATTTTTTGCAGAGAAAGAAGAAACCAAGTCTATTTTGGGTTTCAGCCATTTCTCCAATAATTGTTGTTGTAGCTGGCTGCCTTTTTGCATATTTTTTCAATGCTGAGAAACATGGCATAGCTATTGTAAGTTAAAAATCATTTTGGATTTTTTTAACATTAAATATGATCGAATTCGAAAAAATAATCTTATGAGAAATTAAAATATCTGATGAAAAGTTTCCTAGCTAGACGATTTTGACATATGACATGTCAGATTACAGTATTTTAACATGTTATAACTCGAGTATGATAAGTCATTTCAAGTTAAAAATTTATAACTTTTTTACCATATGTTTTCTTATTTTTATTTAATTTAATGCAGGTGGGAAAATTGAATAAAGGCATTAATCCATCCTCCATTCATCTTATAAATTTTAGTCCAGAATACTTACCTAATGTTGTAAAAGCAGCTATCATTACAGCTATGATTGCAATAGCAGTAAGTATTATATTATTTTATCGTTGTTACTGTTATTTATGCATATCGAAAATAATATTACTATACATATACATTATATTATACACTATTCTTCTTAAATTTTACGTGTGAGAATATTTATATTATAGGAAGGGATAGCTATTGGGAGGAGTTTTGCTATAATGAATAATGATCAAATTGATGGTAACAAAGAGATGGTAGCCATTGGACTTATGAATATTGTTGGCTCTTTAACTTCTTGCTACTTAAGTACAGGTAATTTCTTTTTAACTTATATACATTGACAGGATTAACGTGAACGTGTACTAATGTTTTTATTCATATTTTTTTTTATTATTATTAGGGCCATTTTCAAAAACAGCAGTGAACTATAATGCTGGATGCAAAAGCCAAATGTCAAATGTAGTAATGTCATTGTGCATGTTGCTAACTTTGTTGTTTTTGGCACCACTTTTTGGCTACACACCACTTGTTGCCTTGGCTGCTATTATCATGTCAGCTATGATTGGGTTATTGGACTATGAAAAAGCTGTTCACCTTTACAAGACTGACAAATTTGATTTCTTGATTTGTATGGTTGCTTTCTTTGGTGTTGCTTTCATTAGCATGGACATGGGACTCATCCTTTCGGTACGTAACCAAAAAATATTATCTTATTCGCAGTCTGATTCAGACTCTAGTCTTGAAATTTAGGATCTGATTGATACGACGAAAGTCGACTTTATCTCATTGCAAAATAGTCATTGTCGTGATTTGGGAGCATCTATCATACTAAACATGATAAAAACTTCCTTTCGGTACATACCCAAAATATATTATCTTATTCGCAATCTGATTCAGTCCCCAGTCTTGAAATATGGGATCTGATTGATACAGTGAAAGTCATTATATCTAATTGAAAAACAGTCATTGTCGTGACTTGAGAGTGTCTATCATACTAAACATCATAAAAGAATTTCCTTTCGGTACATAACCAAAAAATATTATCTTATTCGCAATCTGATTCAGACCCTAGTCTAGAAATATGGGATCTGATTGATACGACGAATGTCATTTTCATCTAATTGAAAAATAGTCGTTGTCGTAGCTTGGGAGTGTCTATCATATTAAACATGATAAAAATTTCCTTCTGATACGTTCGTAATCTGATTCAGACCCTAGTCTTGAAATATGGGATCTGATTGATACGACGAATGTCATTTTCATCTAACTGAAAAATAGTCATTGTCGTAGCTTGGAAGTGTCTATGATACTAAACATGATAAAAACTTACGGGTATTCGATTTTATTTTATTTTTTTTGTAGGTTGGACTTGCCTTGATAAGGGCACTATTATATGTTGCTAGGCCACCAACATGCAAACTTGGAACCATAACAAATACAGCATTTAGAGACATAGAACAATATCCTGGTTCTAATGAAACTCCAGGAATGTTAATTTTGAAACTTGGTTCACCAATTTATTTCCCTAATAGCAATTATGTTAGAGAAAGGTACGCAAAATATCTCTGTATAATAACGGCGTTTGTCTGGATATATTATTTTGATTATTTTACTGAAAATTGATATATAATATTATTTTTAATGTGAACAGGATTCTAAGATGGGTTCGAGACGAGCAATCTCTTGAAAATTCACAAAGAAATGAGATTGAATACTTGCTACTTGATTTTGGAGGTATGAATGAGCTTAAAATTCATAAATAAAAACGCATGTACGACTCAATAAAATTAGTTATTCAAAAGCTATATTTAATAAAAAGGATTTTCAAAATTTTATGTAATATTTTTTTTTTCAATGTGTTACTAAATCAAAGAAAATTTCAATAATAATATTGTAGGTGTTACATCAATTGACATTACTGGTGTTGAAACTTTAAAAGAACTTCGTAGATGCCTAGCTGCAAAAAACATCAAGGTATGTATAATTTATATACACTTTCTCATTATTTACTTCTTTCGTTTTAGGTTCGCTTTTTGAGAATCAATTTTCACCAAAATTTTTAAAAAGTGCTTTTTTCATCGTATAATACAAAAAGAATTACTAATTTATAGTAACTGACTGACTCTCGTAAAGCGAGACGTTATTGTATATATAATGTTAGAAATTCACAACTTTTTAATATAATTCTTTTTTTTTTTTTGCAGATTATATTGATTAATCCAAGATTAGGGGTGATGGAAAAATTAATTACAACAAAATTTATTGATTTGCTTGGGAAAGAATCAATATTTTTAACAATTGAAGAAGCAATTGAAAATTGCAGTTTTTCACTAAATTCTTCAAGTCAGGAAAAAAGAGAAGATTTGGAAATTGCTTAGTCTACAAGGAAATTCATTAATTAGTATTTTATTTATTTAAAATAATAGGAAAAGAAATAGTTTTAATTTCTTTTTTTAGTGTTTCTTTTTCTTCTTTTTTTTAACTTTTTTCCATTAGTTTGGTTAGAATAAATTTTGTAGCTTTGATTTTTAATAGATTTATTGTCTTTTTCTTTTAAGTATAAATAAAATTCATTTTTTTAGCACGTCTTTTCATATATATTAGCAAAAAATAAAATTAAGAGGGTGATATTATATGTCGATGTTCTTTGATAAGCTTGACAACAAGTAAAAAATTTTCTCCACTTTTAATTTTTTTAAGCCCATTTGCTAAGATCAAAGTTAATATTTTTGATGGCCACTCAATTTATCGAAATTTTTTTTTTTGAAAGTAACTTAACTTTGATTTTCAACTCAAAATCAACTAACTATAGATTTTTTTTTTACAGAAAAATCACTTAACCTATTTAGTTGTTTTTTCCATTAAAATTTACTGATATGGAATTTATTTATAACCAAAATTTTAAAAACTAAATATATATATTCATTTAAAGACTCGCTTCACTTGACCCGACTCACTGAAAATATAATATTCGACCCTTTTTTTAATTCTTATTCTCTTAATTATTCTTTTTTTTTCTCCCTATAGGTTAAAAAAAAATAGAACGCAAATGTGAAGACAGAATAATTTACTTTGTTTCAAGATAATACAAAGTAAATACCAATTTAGGACAAAGAATTCAAGTCAAAAAACTTATTCAAGCTTGAATTTGAAAACATATACAAAATAGTATTGTGATAATTAGTCAATATACAAAAATATAAGTACTCAATATGTGAAAAATTTATAATTAAACCGGAACATGATTAAGGTAAAATCCCTAAAAATGAGTAAGATAATTATGGTTAAATACTTTATTTATCCGTTAAGACTATAGTAATGGAGTCAGTTGGTTTTGATGGGCAAATCGGCTCATTTTCAAGTTTAAATAAGCTCCAAAACAGGTAAATCTTCATTTTGCTGATTTTGATATGCTATAGTCCATGAATTTTCGATGATTCAGATTTTTGCCGTGTTTTTTACCTAAATTTTTCATGGACGTCCGTTAAGACCTTAGTAATAGAGCTAGTTGGTCTCGACGAGCAAATCGGCCCACTTTCAAGTTCAAATGAGCCCCAAAGCAGGTAAACCTCCATTTTATCGATTTTTGTGTGTTATAGTCAATGAATTTTTGATGATTCGAAATTTCATCATGTTTTTTGCCAAAACTTTTCATGGGCGTCCGTTAAGACCTTAGTAATAGAGTTAGTTGGTTCCGACGGGCAAATCGGACCATTTTCAAATTCAAACGAGTCTCAAAGCAGGTAAACATCCATTTTATCGGTTTCCGTGTAGTTTAAGAATTTTTGGTGATTCGAAATTTCGCTATGTTTTTTGCTGAAATTTTTCATGCACGTTTGTTAAGACCTTAGTAATAGAGCTAGTTAGTCTCAATAGGCTAATCGGTCCATTTTTAAGTTCAACAAGCCCAAATCCAGGTAAGCCCCCAATTAATCTATTTTCGTGTGCTATAGTCCATGGATTTTTGGTGATCCATAATTTTGGCGTGCTTTTGGTCAAAAATTTTCATGGACATCTGTTAAGACCTTAGTAATGGATCCAGTTGGTCCCGACTGTAAGATCAGTCCATTTTCAAGTTTAAACAATCCCAAAAACAAGTAAACCCCAATTTTGTCGATTTTCGTATGTTATAGTCCATGAATTTTTGGTGATCCAAAATTTTGGCGTGTTTTTTACCAAAATTTTTCATGGACGTTCGTCAAGACCTTATTAATGGAGTCAGTAGGTTCCAACAGGCAAATCAACCCATTTTCAAGTTCAAACGAGCCCCTAAATAGGTAAACCCTCATTTTATCAATTTTTATGTGTCATAATCAGTGAATTTTTGGTGATTCGGATTCCTAAATTTTTTTGGCAGAAAATATTTCTGGACACCTGTTAATACTTTAGTAATTGAGTCAGTTGGTACTAATGGGTAAACTGACTCATATTTAAGTTCAAACGAGCCCTAAGTTTGGTAAATTCTCATTTTGGTGATTTTCCTGTGCTATAATCCATGAATTTTAAGAGATCCAAAATTTCAGTGTATTTTTTTGTCAAAATTATTTGTGGACGTCTGTTAAGACTTTAGTAATAGAGTCAATTGGGTGCGACAGGAAAATCAATCTATTTTCACGTTCAAACAAACTCCAAAGAAAGAAAACCCCCATTTTGTATATTTTTGTGTGCATAATCCATAGATTTTTTGTAATCCAAAATTGCGACGTCTTTTTAACCAAAATTGTTCATGCACATGTTAAAGCAAGTAAACCCCCATTTTGTAAATTTTGTGTGCTATTGTCCATGGTTTTTTGTGATCTAGAAGTCTGGAGTGTTTTTGGCTGGAACTCTTCATGGATGTTCATCTCGACAGGCAAATCGATAATTTTCAAGTTCAAACAAACTCCAAAGCACGTAACCCTCATTTTACCAATTTTTGTGTGGTATAGTCCATGTATTTTTTATGATCCGAAATTATTGCGTGTTTATCATCAAAAAAATTAATGAGCATTCGTTAAAACCTTTATAATGGAGCCAATATATCCCGATGGGCAAATCAGCCCATTTTCAAGTTCAAACGAATTTGTAAGCAGTTAAACCCCCAATATGCCGATTTTCGTGTATTATAGTTCATGAATTTTTTGTAATCTGAAATTTCGACGTGTTTTTGCTGAAATTTTGCATGTCCGGACGTTAAGACTTTATCAATAGAGCAACATGTTCTCGACGGGCAAACAAGTCAAGTTCAAAAGAGTCTCAAAGTATGTAAATTTTCATTTTATGATTTTCATGTGCTATAGTCCATGAATTTTTTATTATCCCAAATTTTGACGTGTTTTTGGCCAAAAATTTTTATGGCCTCGGTTAAGACCTTAGTAATGGAGTCAGTTGGTCCTGACGGGCAAATCAAACCATTGTCAAGTTTAGACGAGTTCCAAAGCAGGTAAAAACCTGTTTTGTCAATTTTCATATATTATATAATCCATGGATTTTTCGTGATCACCGATTACGGTGTATTCTTGATTGAATTTTTTATGATCGTATGTTAAGACCTTAGTAATAGAGACAAGATGTCCCGACAAGTAAACCAACCCAGTTTCAAGTTCAAACGAACTCCAAAGCAGATAAACCCTTCATTTTTGCATTTTTTTGTGTGTTATAGTTCATGAATTATTTTGTAATAAAAAATTTCAATGTGTTTTTGGTTGAAATTTCTCATTAACGTCTATTAAAAACTTAGTAATGGAGCTAGTTAATTTCGATGGGCAAACCGATCAATTTTCAAGTTCAAACGAGCCCCAAAACAGGTAAATCCTCATTTTGCCGATTTTCGTGTGCGATAGTTCATGAATTCTTGATGATACGAAATTCGAACATGTTTTTTTGCCAAAATTTTTCATGAACATTCTTTAAGACCTTAGTAATGTAATCCATTTTCAAGTTCAAACGAGTTCCAAAATAGATAAACTCCCATTAATGTTAAAATAAAATGATGCCTATCGGCTGATTCTATTGCGTGCCGGCTAGAGAATTTTTCCATTACATAAGTTCTAGAGTGACAAATTCAGTTGTTGAATAGAAGAAAATTCATCTATTCTTGACTATATAGTTGATGGGATGAATAAGATTTGAGATTTTAGTTCAGATTTTGAGATATTCAACTTTTTTTATGTACATTTCTAATTTCTCATATTACAGGTTCACAATAGTCTTTTTATATTTCAAGTGCTAAATTTATGTTTATAACAAAATATAACTCACTAATTGCTTTTTAGTTGTTATAAACAATAAATACATAGATGAATATTTGCATAAGGTTATTATTATAAAGAGATAATTTCACAAAGAAACTACTGTTAATAATGACAGTTGTTTAGTGTTATAAGAAGAAAAAAAAGCTTATAACAAAGTAGAGACTAAAGTTCGAGATAACAGCATCTCTAGTGTAATCCCAATAGCGACGCCTGAGGAGAACGGTGTACACCCAGCTTTACCCTTAAATCTATTTATACAGTGTGCTATGTTTGCATTAGATGATGGACACTTCAAAAATATCGCCCGGTTTAGATCTTCCAAAAGCTATGCATTTTTTGAAGATCCAACACGAGTGCAACTGACATTTTTTTTGGAAGTTCCGAGCAACATATAGCTGGTGAGGCAGGAGAGAGATGTAAGGGTATCAACAATGGAATTACCTCTTCTTTCAAGCTTGTTATGGATACCTGGTATGAGCTACAACTATACAAACTGAAATTCGTGTGGTAGAAACAGCAGTAGCAGTAGCAGCAACAGCAGAAGAAGTAACAGTTGGGATATACTCTCCTGGTTCCCCATGCAACAAGCTAGCCGCGATGATCTGTGTTTCAACCATAAGAAGTTGGTTTCTGCATCACCTTAGGATTGTTGGAGGGGTTCCTCTTCTACAGAAGGTAGATCTCTGTTCTTGGCGTCAATTTCAGATTTGCAGAGGGGGCAAGTCGCATTAATCTTCAGCCATTTATCTACACACTGTGTATGGAAGAAATGCGAGCAAGGCAATTCCCTCAGTTCGTCATTGTCCTCATATTTTGCTAAGCAAATACAACACACCTGTTTAGGTTTAAACGATAAGAGCCGGCTTAAGTAAGATGAGACGAAACAACTGATTAGATAGTAAAATTGTGCAAATTCAAGAACTATTCTCAAACAAAAGTGGGACAGACTACGAACTCCTTCCAAAAGCACAAATATGCCTAGATAACAGCTCTGTGAAATACTACATGTAATACGTAACAAGCCAATGGCAGACATCGGTAAGGTCTCATAAAATCGAGTTAATCAAAGATCCAGTATATACAATTAGATATATCCTCTTTGATTGTTTTGATATGCGTGGATAACTAACCATGATCAATACGTGGTCCAATATCTAAAACCTATTTCATGTAAATAAGTATTAGGTTTCACATGTGTAGGAACATGAATGCCAACAAGTAATAACTGAAATCTGATACTATCTCAATGATAAGTTTAAGGTCATGTGCTATTGCTAAGCTATGAAGACTAAATTCTTCAGAAAAAAAATGCATTATCTCTCCTAGTATTTCGAAGACAACGGTAAGGTCTCATTCATTCTCCTCATTTCCTTTTGCACTTTGGATAGTTTTTACTAAGCATAATATGTGTAAATATTCTTTCTCACCAGGCCAATAATGCTGTTTTCCAAGTATCCCTGTTTTTGACAGGTAAAACAAACTTCTACAAAACCAGATCAAGTAAAACAAAAAAAATCCAGTGTAATTTCAGGAGTAAGGGCTGGGGAGAGTGGTGTCTAAGCAGAACTTACCCCTACCTTGAGATGTGGGCTGTTTCTGAAACTCCCTTGCCTCAAATAAAGTAAATTAAAGCAAATAATGAACAGAACAGTAGAAATAGCAAATAATACGAAAACGGAAGCAAAAGAAAACAACAGATGATAATAAAAATTGAATAATAAGATGACAAGGGAGTGATAATAAAGCAAAGGAGACAAAAAGTAATAATGAAAATACATGTATTTAATGCTCAGCCTTGAGGAGAAAAAACTACAAAACATGGGGAAAGTAATAAGAAAAAAATAATCACGAAAAAAGAAACTACAAGAAATACTTTATATGTTGATTTTTCAACATCAAATGCAATTAGTACTTAAGACAGTCACTTATTGACTCCTTGATAGTGCTAATCCTAAGGGGAAATAGCAGTCATGGAAATGGGAATGCAGCCTGTTTGCATATAATGGATTCATTGATATAGC